GTGTGTGTGTGAACTCTTCTGCGTCTATAACGCTGGAGTAGAGTGTCCCTGGGGCAAGGTAACCGGTTCAGCAAAACAAGGAACCACAGCGGAGCCTATAGGTAGAAGTTAACATAAGGGGATCAGCCAAACTGCCACTTTGGGAGGGTTTGATGTCGCAATCGGCCCTGTAGCTATATATATATATATATATATATATGTATGTATGTGCTTATGTGTATATATAAATATATAAATATATGTATGTATGTATATATATATATATACGTGTTATGTCAAGAAACCCTTAGTATTTACTCCGGCCCTATCGTACCCCAAACCTAAAACCTCCGTAAATCGCACTTATAGAACCCGTACAGTACCCTCATTGCAGAACCCCTTGAAGGAACGCCATTTCAGACCCCTTTGTTCTGCGGCCATCCTCTAAACCGCCTCTAACCCAATACTGAGTGAAAATGGTTTACCTAAAGCTTCTCGGCTCTTTCGGCAGCAGAAGAGATCGGTAAGGGTGGAGTCCTGACCCTGCAAAACATGTGTTGGCGAGAAGCCACACGCCTAAGGGACCTTCATGCAACAAGACTGCTATAATATAGTAGAATATGTTACACTATGATAAAGCTCAATCTATATATATGTGTATATATATATATATATATATATATATATATTTTTATACATACATACATACATACCCTTGATCTTAAGCCTAAACCCTAGTGCGAAGTTGAAGGCCCGGATGTTCAGCACCAACTTCAGGCGGCTTCAGCTTTGGGTTACGTTGAGTGGACGGGCCCAGAAAGCCGAAATACATGAGTCGTGAGAGCCCTAAATCCTAAACCCTCCTTAGACCCCTAGGGTTTGCCCTAAACCCAAAACCCTAAACCCTAAACCCAAAACCCTAAACCCTAAACCCCAAACCCTAAACCCTAAACCCTAAACCCTAAAGGTCTTAGAGAGCTTCGAAACCCCAGAGTTCCATGAGGTTCCATGGTCAACTCTCGATCGGGACTGCAGCAATGTGCCTTCGAAAGACTGTCTGGTTCTTAGTAGGGAATGAGGTTCCTTTAAGGGTTCCTGTTTAGAGGGTCCTATAAGGGTTCTATAAGGGGTCTTAGGGTATCTATAGTACCTGTCTGGTTCTTAGTAGGGAATGGGGGGGCCTTAATTCTCCAAAGGGGTTCATTAGGAATACTATAAGGCATCTATAATTAGGGTTTAGGGTTTAGGGTTTAGGGTTATTAATCGGGTACTATGATATATAACTGTTTGGTTCTTAGTAGGGAATGGGGGAATGGGTTATGGGGACTATTGCTGGAGATTATACAGGGACTACTTTAGGGATCCATTTCCCCATTCCCTACTACGCATCAGGGAGAAGACGGTGACAGAAGCCATGTTCAGTTGGCCGCCGGTGGGTCTGCACCGGCATGCGCAGCTCCGCTTCCGCAGCAGCCAAATACAGTCATGCTGGTTCTCTACATACTCAAAAGCACCCACAGGTACGAGGACTATACCGTATGCCCGGAAACCTTAGACCCTGAACCCTAAATCAGGCTGCGGGAGCCGGAAGCTCTAGAACTGTCAGGCTTTTTCAGGTGTGGTGCATCATATTACCGGGGTTTGGGGTGTAGGGTTTAGAGCAACGTATACCGTCTTGTTATTTGTAAGCTTGGGGTATTTGTTGGGTACTGCCCCCATACAGCGGGGGCAGTATCCAAGGTACATGGCTACAGGAAGAGCCTGCCGCATGGGCCATCCAGATCGCCAATCCCAGCGAGAACGTCACTCTCGGGAACGGGCTCCGCACCTTCTGCAGCATGATTCTGCAGGATTTGTGGTGAGCTTCAGACACCCCCATGGTCCATGTGCCCAAACAGTATGCACTTTGGCCTTTAGGTAGTGTCTGTAGAGCCAAAGTATATACTAATGCCTGGACCGTTGAACCCTATTACCCTATAGAACCCTCATAGATCCCTCAAAGGAACCGTTCTGGGCACATGGACCCTTAGGCAAAGTTTGGATAATGAACTCGGACGAACTCTCAAGCTCCTCTGCACTAGGGTTTAGGCTTTAGAACAAAGGTGCATACATATATATATATATATAGTATTGAGCTATATTATGTTCTAATATATTATATTACATTATAGTATATAATCTTATAATCTATTATATAACTAATATTACATAATATATGATATTATATGACATTCTATGATATTATAAAACATACTGTATAATACTACATGAAATTATATAGTGGTTCATACTATTCTATAACATCATATAACACATATATAATGTTCTGCATAATACTAAAACTGTCTAAATATAGCAATAAATCATGCAACATATTAGTATATAAATGAAATAACAATAATAATAATGTATATATATATATATGTATATATATACACACATATACATATGTATGCATCGTATGTGTGTATATATATATATATATATATAATAGATACACAGATAGATATAGATAGATAGGGTTCTCTCCTTCAATCACAGTCTCCCAAAAGGCTCAAAATCTGTAGTAAAAACCCAAGAAGATCAACAGTCTTCGTTTGAGGCAGTAGGGTTTAGGGTTTAGGGTTCGAATTATTGTAGGGTCTCAGGGCTAGGACGATTAGGATTTTGTACAGTGAGAAGGTGCGCTCCAACATCTCTCGGAAGCATGACAGCAGCTCGAGGCAAACCCTGACCCTGTACAACAAATGAACTATCATCTTCACGACCATACCCAGGATTTAGACAACATGTTTTATGGCTTGGACCCTACAATGAACCAAGAAGAATCCAAAACCATGTGCTACGCTTTAGGGTCTTGGTAAGGTCTACGAAATACGAAATCCCAGCACCAACCATGGTGAACCCCCCACTCACGGGCACCTTCCAGCCAGGCTTCGCCCAAGCTGGTCCGGTGGGGTTCCTGGGATCTTTTTATAGCAGATTCTGCCAGCATAGAAGTCGAATATGCAACAAAAGATGTTGAACAAAGGGCCGAGCAACTGCCTTGTCCAACTTGCCGGTCTCGTGACCTGCATCGCCGATGAGGCTCATGGGTACAGGGATGTCGTCCAGTCGCGGTTTCGATCGAACGAAGCCGCCCAAGTTGGCATCCGACTCGGGTGACCACGGAAGATGGGTGTATTGCGGAGGAAAGGGCTGAAATTCACCCGAGCTCATGGAGCTCTGCACGTTCATCAGATTGCCCATGTAGCCGGCATAGCTTAGCTGGGACTGATCAGGATATGGCTGGAATCGGAAATCAGTATAAGGTTGGAGTGGCGGGGAGGTTGCTTGTTGCATCTGCATAAACTTGGCTTTGGCCTTTTTGTCGGTCAGCTGGTGCACGAATCTACATGCCTCCCCCCGAGAGCAGAAGCCGTTCTTCACGAAGTCAAAACAAGGCTTCGGGCTGGGACGCAACTCCGCCGTGGAGTGTGCAAACGTACAGTCTGCCCCCATTTTGCACTCCTGAGTCATGGCGATAATTGCAGTAATGTTAGTCGTGAGAACTGCAGTAGTAATAATGCTGGAAGAGATGAAAAACAACAACAATAATCGCAACAATAACAGTAATGATAAGTGGCATGATGGTACAAAATGGTAACAATGCAAGCATTGTAACAATGGCAATCATGCTAATATCGGTAGCAGTCGTAGTGTCAGGCACCGTAAAACCTTTCTGGATCAACACGACCCAAAACCTACCTAGAGTCTCCATTGTGGTTCCTTTTTTTGGTTAGCCAGTTTTATGGCGAGGATCCTAGAAGAGAGATTTTGGTCTACCAAAAAAAGGAACCACAATGGAGACTATAGGTAAGCCGGAAGCCCAAACCTTTCAACCCTAAACTTTTACACCATAAATACCGGTTTAGGGCTTAGTGTTTAGGGTTTAAGGGTTAGGGAGTTTTGGGTGTAAGGTCTAGGGTTTATAAGGTTTAAGGTTTGGGGTTCAAGGTTTAGGGCGAAATACGACTGTACCCCGTAGTGCCACCTAGACTCGTTGGTCCGCCAGAATTTACACATGCGCGTGAATTGCACGGCCCTCTTCTGCTCGGCTTTCGTCATGGCTCCGATGGACACTTGGAGAAACTACAAATGTCCTGCTAATTGTCACTGCAGGGCCCAACACGGGTTGTTAAGGGTGACTGAGGGTCACTACCACAGGGGTTTTCGTAATAGTCAGTTCTGATTCAGTGATGCTTAGATCGAGCAAGTGGAGCTTCGGGCCCGGCACGATGCACTGTCCGCAACTCTCAGAAGCGGTGCCTGACTTCCTAGACACTAAACCCTTAACCTTCAGCCCGATATCCACATACACAACGGACGCCAGGGAACGTCTAGGACTCCCGAATAGGCGAAGTAGGGCTTGAAGCTCTGAGTTCGGGGGTTATGTTTCAGGGTTGAAGTTTAGGGTTTAGGGTATAGGATTCTTAATATGAACCCCCAAAAGGACTATAGCTATGTCGTCACTATAGGGGAAACTGTTTGTTTTCATCAAAGGTCCTGAGCCGATGACCAGGTTCCCAGAGACTCCAATATCCTTTAATTAAGGAATATCCCTTAAATTACAATAGGATCTCTAACATGATTTAAGGACGATTCCTTAATTAAGGGATATTGGAGTCTCTGGGTTCGGCCTTGTGCTAAGATCTCCTTATAGCAGTCCTCCAAGAGATTCCTCGATCCTGCAAGCGAACCCTGATGCAGAGCGTTACGATTGATGGTATAAATCCTGCACTACCACAATAAGGAACGGACCGTCATTCCCATGGTTTATTGTCCTCATTTCAGGCAGTGCAGGATTTATGTCATCAACCGTATGATACTCGACCAGTATGTACCCCGAAGCTCTGGTCCCCTCTGAGGCCCCAGCAACACCGTCAAAAGCACAAAACTTGTTATCAGTTATTTATAGCACTCTTATTAGAACCCACAAACCCTATTTAATTTCTTAAGGCTCCTGACTGAATAAAAGGTGCCTTCGCCCGGTTCTTTGCCCTGAGGGCAGCCACCGCAGCAGCGAGTTCTGCATGTGCCTCTCGCAGAACAAATCCGGCTCTGCGGTTTCAGCCCTTTACCGGCTGAAGGCTTCTATGATGGTTCGACAAGGTTCGACAAAGGTTCTGCAATTCTACAAGGGATTTCTATCAAACTTCGAGAAGGGTGTTTAAACGGTTCATTGTTTATAGTGGGGTTTACGGCTCACGGTCCGGAGCATGAGTTCAGATGCGATGGGTGACTTCTGAGTAGAGGAAGGCCTTGGGCCAGAGAGTTTAGGATTCAGGGTTTCGGATTTCAACTGTAGGCTACGGGCTTGGACCGGGAAACTCGAGGCCTTGCCAAAACCTGACATGGTGTACGATCTGTCCGCGACTAATCACCAGATTCCTGCTATGAGTCAAGGTTTACTCTAGGGGTGTCGGGCCCGTCCTTCTGACAAGTTCTCCCTCGACTAAGCAGATGTTTACCCTGTTGCGGAACCTAGAAAGGAGCAGGCACGCGGAAGTGGCCACAAGCAAGGGCATCGCACGAACACGTTCGACGATAACCTCCGGTCTAAGTCACTTGTGGCCTATGATGCAGTGCATGCACCGCAGAAAACCCTCAGTTGTCTGCACACACAAGCCAACTGCAATCGGCTCTTTTGCTTCATGGCTTGTGTCCGGCAGTTTCTGGTTCGTAACATCAACCGACATCACGGCATCCTCGATTGTCCAAGAACGCGTGACCGGATCCCTTGCTGAGCCCAAAGGCTCCATGTAGCTTTATATTAGATACTTAAGCCTTAAAGGGGTCCCTATATCGGTACTTTAAGGCCGAACTATGTACTATATGGGTACATGTAGCCTCCTTAGCTGAGTGTACAGGTCTTCCGCGCCCTGTGAGGCTCGCGACCTTTCGAACACCGTGTCCCAGCACGACGGAGCTGTGATCGGCTTGTTACTGTGGCAACAGATTTCCTTTAGAGTTACTAAAGAGGGTGCTATAAGGGCTGCTTTTTAGAATTCTATAGGGGCTACTTTGAGGGGCACTATGATCAGAAGGTCTGTTCTGATCAGCTCAGGCTTGTTACTGTTGTCGTCGTGGGTAACGTGACCCGGGCCAACATGATGCTTCATGAAATCCCTTTACGAATTGGGTAACTTTCATCGTCATCAGAGCTTGCTGACTTGTACTTGAGGGGGTGAAGGTCGTTCTGGCAGCAACGTGGTAGCAGTAGTAGTAGTAGTAGTAGTAGTCGTCGTCGCCGTCGTCGTCGTCGTGGTAGTAGTAGTGGTGGTAGTAGTAGTAGTAGGAGTCGCAGTAGCAATAGTAGAAATAGTAGAAGGAGTGAGAATAGTAAGTAGTAGAAGTAGTAGTAGTAGTAGTAGTAGTAGTAGTAGTAGTAGTAGGAGTAGTAGCAGTGGCAGTAGTACTAGCCGTAGTAGTAGTAGTAGCAGCAGTAGTAGTAGTAGTAGTAGTAGTCGTAGTAGTAGTAGCAGTAGCAGTGGCAGTGGCAGTGGCAGGAGCAGCAGCAGTGGTGGTACTTGTAGTAGTAGTTGCTGTTGTTGCTGTAGAACTGTAGAAGTTGTTGTAGTAGTTGTTGCTGTGGTTGTGGTTGTGGCTCTCGTCGTTGCTGCCATTACTCTTGATGTTGATGGTGTTGTTGCTGTTGCTGCTGCTGTTGCCGTTGCCTTTGAATTTGGCGTTGCCGTTGCTGTTGTTGTCGTTGTTGCCGTTGTCGCTGATGTTGCTGTTATTGCTGTTGTTGCTGTTGTCGTTGTTGTCGCTGTTGTGGTTGTTGTGGTTGCTGTCACTGTTGTGCTTGTTGTGGTTGTTGACGCTGCTGCTGCTGCTGCTGCTGCTGCTGCTGCTGCTGCTGCTGCTGGAATCGTTGCTGTTGTTACTAGCAGTAGTAGTAGTAGTAGTATCAGTAGTAGTAGTAGTAGTAGTAGTAGTAGTAGTAGTAGTAGTAGTAGTAGTAGTAGTAGTAGTAGTAATAGTAGTAGTAGTAGTAGTAGTAGTAGTTAGTAGTAGTTAGTAGTAGTAGTAGTAGTAGTAGTAGTAGTAGTAGTAGTAGTAGTAGTAGTAGTAGTAGTAGTAGTAGTAGTAGTAGTAGTAGTAGTAGTAGTAGTAGTAGTAGTAGTAGTAGTAGTAGTAGTAGTAGTAGTAGTAGCGGTAGCGGTAGCGGTAGCGGTAGCGGTAGCGGTAGCAGTAGCAGTAGCAGTAGCAGTAGCAGTAGCAGTAGCAGTCGCCGTAGCCGTAGCCGTAGCCGTAGCAGTAGCAGTAGCAGTAGCAGTAGCAGTAGCAGTAGCAGTAGCAGTAGTGGTGGTAGTAGTAGTAGTAGTCATAGAAGCAGTAGCAGCAGTAGTAGCAACAAAGAAGTGCCAGTAGTGGCAACAGCAGGAGTAGTTGTAGTAGTGGAGTAGTAGTTGTAGTGGTAGTAGCAGTAGCAGTAGTAGCAGTAGTAGCAGTAGTAGCAGTCAGTAGTAGCAGTAGTAGCAGTAGTAGCAGTAGTAGCAGTAGTAGCAGTAGTAGTAGTAGCAGTAGTAGTAGTAGTAGTAGTAGTAGTAGTAGTAGTAGTAGTAGTAGTAGTAGTTCTCGTCGTGGCAGTCGTCGTAATACTACTGGTTGCTCGGTGTTGCTGCTGCTGCTGATGATGATGATGATGTTGTGGCTGTTGCTGCTGCTGTCGTTGATGTTGCTGGCGTTGACATACATAAGCGTTGATTTGCGTGCTCTTTCTCCCTTACTTTCCAGATCTACAGACATAACCAGTCATGTGCCTGCATGCATGCAACAGCTTTTCTGCCTGTCCATTCTAGGTGTACAGCATACCTCCAGCATCACAAACCTGAATGAATGCCCTTGAAGGTGCTAGTATCAAGATGTTTTGACGATGCTCCAAGCACTGGGCCAAACACAACTCATTTAACCACACCGATGGAAATAGTCATTCGAATTTGGAGTGCCATCCTTCCACGCGCAAAAGCACTGCAAACCCGGGCCCTGAGGCCAAACCCCCCAAGAACTTCGTTGAGCCGGGCTACAACCAAAACACGTCCTGGGCATGTAGCGGCTGTGGCGAGTTTCGCGATGATGCATCCACCAACTAACAAGTTGAACACACCTGGACACACCCTAATCGCTGGGGCCTCAGCCTGGAATATCGTCAGAACCAGACAAATTATGACAAGTTCTGTCGCGGGGAACTACGGAGCCCGTGAGTATATAACCCCTAAACCACCTTGAAGCCTCATGAGGGTTGCTGTCTTTAAGGCCCTGTTTGTAACGGTGACCTAAAGAAGGACCCCAGTTTAAAGGAACCCTGAAGTACCAGATTAAAATAGAGCCTTATGACAATGACAATACCAGGACCCCCCCAGTGGCCCTTTAGTGGAGCCCTTATAGTCCTTAATAGTGGGTATTTGGGTGAATTAGATGGTAGTTGGGGGGTTCTGAGTTATTCTTCCCAGGAAGATGTATGTGGGAGCTTCAAGATATACAGCAGCCTCACATGAACGGCAAGTCATAGGATCCTTGGCTAAAGCCCCCCCCAAAACGACCAAGCCTTCAGTGCTGCCGGCTAAACTTAAAACAGTACTAAAGTAAAGGAATAAAGGAACCCCAGAGGGCTAAGCATGCAGAGCACAAGGATGCTAAGCCTTAAGAAGCTAATTACAGGCTCTTAGAGGGATTAAGGGTTGGGCAGCAGTGGCCTCATAGAACCCCAGAAGACCTCAATACATAAAGAGACATCGGAACAACTTTTGAATGCCCTTGTTTATCCATAAGGAGCTGCAGTTAGGAAGCACTCCGCTCTGCGTCAATCACCCGAGGCGCTGCCCGCAGCAGAGCGGCGTAATTTCAACACTCGGGATGTCAGATGGAAAAGTGTGGCGTAGGGGCCCAGAAGACCACAGAAACAGTGGGATCGAAGTCCCATAGAGGTTGTTTTCTACATGTCACATCCTTCAGTTTGTCTGCTGGGCCATCATGTGTACTAGACGTGGGTGTATTCACCCGGTCTCGTGGCGAGCCCGTGCGACGAAGTCAGGTCGACAAACACAAAACTCTCTCCACCAAAGTGTCTTGTTGATGACATGTTGGCACAGCCTTCAGCGATGACTTGTCCACTTCTGTGTCGGGCTGTATCAGCGCTTGGGTGGCGGGGTTGCCACCAAAGCAGCTTGAAAAGTTGAAACTCTGGTTTAGGAATACAGGATTTGGCATTGGGGCTTAGGGTCAGGTTCAGCCGTCGTGTGCAGTATCTTGGCTCTCTGTGCAGGCACACGGAGCCTTTCTGCGCAATCAACTTGCTTTCCGTGGCCCTGAGGTAACCCAGGAATCCCTCATGTGCTACAGCGACACACTCAGAGCCTGAACTCCGAAAATTCTATCTGAGAGTTTCCGAAAATTAGGGGTACCTTATTTTGGGGTATCTATACTGAGGATCCTACTATTGAGGGTACTAGCTTAGGGTCCCCTATTTTCGGAAACTGCCATCTCAAATTAGACCCCAAAACCCTACAAGCCAAGAATTGTCGCTTCGGCTCCGTTCGTGCTTCAAGTTTAGGGCCGGGGGTTTCTGGTTTGGGCTTTTGGGCTGAGGTTTTGGGTTTTTAGTCCATGTAAGGTCTGTGGTTGCACAAGCAATCAAGAACAGAATGGACGCTTGAGTTTTGATGTGGGATGTAAGGTTTTGCGGCCTGGCGTTGGGCGAGGAATGAGGAATCTGAGAGTTGCAATATAGACGTTGAAAACAATCCTCAAGGCGTAAACCCCCAACCAATGAGACACTCCTCATGGCGGCTGAACCTTGCGGGCTGCTGAGATCTTCACTGCGTTCGCATGCCCGGGGACTTGCGTCAGCCACCCATGTGTTGGACCGGGGCGACGGAAGAGTTTGGGGTTCAGGACTCAGGGTGCCTAAACCCTAAACTAAGTAAGGCATGTGCATGCATCTGCCCAGGCTGCATGCTGTAACTTTTTGCTTTGTGTTTCTCTTCTCTCCGGTATGGGGATTGGGAACGATGTAACCCTTCCTGAGAGCGTT